TGGTAACATGGGTGACAGGGCAGGCAATATATAACAAGTGGGAGATTAGCCAAGAAAGTTAAAGGTGGCAGGAGACACAGGAAACAATGCAAAACATAAGTAAATTGAGGTAAATACTGTTAACTATTGGTACATGGAGGAGATTGCAACCATGTAATGAAGCAAAGTATCTTTGCTTTTCAACACTTCAAAGAGGTCTTGTGCAGTAGATTTGCCTTATGCAATAAATACATTTGATTTCTTGATTGCTGCTTCCATGAGTGTTGATGGCTAAGCCCAGAAAAATGAAGTCTTTGACAACTTCAATCTTTCTCCTTTCATATGGATGTTACTTATAGAACAAATAGATCTGTGTTGGAAGAAGTACAGCCAGAGTGCTCCTTGGAAGCCAGGATGGTCAGACTTCAGCTCTCACACTGCAGACATATTATCAAGAGGGATCAGTCCCTGGAGAAGAACATCATGTTTGGTAGAGCAGACATTCAAAGAAAAAGAAAAAGACCCCCAGTGAGACTGACTGATACAGTGGCAGCAGCAACGGGGTCAGGCGTGGCAACGATTGTGAGTTTGGCACAGGATCGGACAGTGTTTCATTCTGTTGTGCATAGAAATAGCGTCACTATGACTCGGTACCAACTAATGGTACCTAACAACAACAACAACAGTATATTAAGTTGAAATGAGAAAAATTATACTTTACTATCTAATGAACTGGATTTGAATTTAAGATTTCTTTCAAAATCAAATTATCTTCATTGTTACATGTATGAGAATTCCATTCAAAGCCATTAGCAGAGAAAAAGTCATAAGAAACTCGAATTGAAATGTAAAATGAGTTGATCAGCAAGCAATAATCTCACCTGATAAATGATTCCGTTAGATTTCTGGGCTCTTTAAGTCTCCAAAAAACAGGACCATTATTCCTTTCCTTGACTAAAATATAAAATAAAAGTTTTTAAAGTTATTTGGGAAAAAAAATTACTCCATCATTAAATAATAATTGGTCAAGAAGACAAAGTCACATGCACTGATTTGATGACCATTCATAAATTCCATACAAACTTGCAAGTCTAATGTTATATGCTGGGCTTGAAAGGATCCATGCAAGGGAAGGGCACTAAAGCTTCAGCTAACAGTATGTTCACATAGTCAAATGCTTCTGTAAAATGTGCAAAAGAAATGCATTCTAACCACAGTCGTTTAAGACCACAGACTCTCTGACTTCATTTTTCCCTACCGCCTCATTTCTTTTGGAATAGCCAAATTTCTTTTGGAGTAGCTGTATTTATCATTTCTTCTGTACAGGTTGCTTTGGAGTGCAGTGTGGCACTGCAGGATAAGCACTGGACTCCTAACCAAAAGGTCAGCAGTTCAAACCTACCAGCAGCTCCTCAGAAACTCTAAACAGGGTCATTATGAGTTGGAACTGACTCAACAGCATTTACAACAGCAACATTTTCTTTATTAAGAAATAAAACGGTGATAAGTACATATGCTTTAAAAAACCCTGCTATTTCAATATTCTTCACACATACAATTTAGTGACACCATCCATCGTGTTGTTCAGCCATCATCATTATCTATTTCCAACATTTCGATTGCCCTTAATAGAAGCTCAATTTTCCCTAAGCAATGTTCTCCCTTTCCATCATTCCCATTAGCTCCTTATAACCACTAATAAGCTTTGGTTTCTATACACTTGCCTATTCTGGATATCTCATATACATGGAATCATTTAATATGTATCATTTTGTGACTCAGCATGGCACGTTCATAGTTTATCCATGTTGTACTATGTACCAGGACTTCATTTCTTGTTATAGCTGAGTACCATTCCATTGTATATGTCTACCACAGGCTGCTCAACCCCTCAATTTCTGGCCTTCCACTTTTAGCTAGTCTCTTCTTCCTTTGATTCCCCTGAGAGACTTCAAAAGCCTGTCAACAAACACCCAGAATCAATTTTTCCTATTTGCAAGCTAAAAATCCTCACTTAAATGCTTAAGGTCCAAATCACCATAGACGCTTCTAATAGTACTCGTTTCACACTTGTTGGTACTAATTGTGGTACAAATAATACTTTTAACTATCACTGGAATTAAGTGGAACACATTAGCACTTTTGTTGGTAGGTTTCACTGAGACTAATCTATTAGGAAATTTTTATTGCCAAATTATCAACCTGTACCTAAGGTTTAAATTGTGTCTTAATCCTGATTTCATCCAAATTAACCAATCTAACTTGAACTTTTGTTGTGTAGGTCATTATTGTTATTGTTAAATACCATCAAGTCAGTTCCAACTCTTATCAACCCTGTATAGGGTTTCCAAGGAGTGGCTGGGGAGTTTGAACCTCCAACTTTTTTGTTCAAACCAACCTTCCTGTCCAGTGCTTACCCTCCAACACCAGACCAAGACTCCAGGAGAGTTATTAGAAGACTGCAACAAAACAGCTTCAGCATCAATGTCTATTAACTTTAGGTTTTAATTTGTAACATGGTTTAACTCTAGGTTTTAATTTGTAACATGGTCTGGAGAATGTTAGGACCACCTGTGTTTTCATTTAAAAAGTTGGATCATTCTTTCTGCCCTTGGTGGACTTTCTGGATCCCAATAATCAAAGTCTGGCAGGTCTCAGCAATAAGGACAAGAGATCCTGAATATGCAGTTATCCAACAGTGTATTCTATTCTGTGTAGCTTATACACTTCTATAGTGGCTGACAGGTAATGTCCTTCCGTCATTTACTATAATACATATCTGATGGCATGTTCAGTAGGGCTGCTCAACTGAAGAACATTTTTAGGGAGGGACTCTACATAAATAATGTATCTACATTCTCAATTGCTGGAGGCTCAATTATACTTCAAGTTTCGTATGTGACAATTATCTACTAAAACTGACACTGTAATCAGTGCACTTTGGAGTGTACCTTATTGTTCTAGTTAGATCCCATAGCAGTACTGGATAGGTTTTAGGATATATGAGGATAAGTCAGAAAGTATTGATGCAGTCATGGAAATCTTCATGAAACAAAACATCAAAATGTGAAGCTACTGTTTCTTGACACATTCTCCATCTAGGTCTATACACTTCTGAAGGCAATGTTTCCAACTGTCTAATTCTTCCCTAAAGAATTCTGTGTTCTTCGATCTACTCCACAACAAAACGGCTGCTTTGGCATCCTCCAGTGACTCAAACTGTGTTCCTTTCGTATGTTCTTAGAGTTTTGTGAATAAAAAGAAGCCTAAAGTGGCAATTAAAGTTAATGGAATTTTTCTAAAAACTTTCTGAAGCCCCCTCATATAACGCCACATGTAAAATGTAAACTACAGAGGACAGCCTCTTTCTCTATAAATCTCAAAACACACACACACACACACAAACCAGTTGGGCCTGTTAAAAGTGTAGTGATTTTAAACTTTAAGAATTTTTACCATAAATGATTTACAGTTTAGAGATTTCTTTGTTCAACTTGATCTACTTGATTGGAGTGAAAGTACTTTCACTGCATGACATAAATATTCCCTACGCTTTCACCCAAGGGGTTTGGAATCAGCCCAAACAATTATCTTTACTTAAATGCTCAGTCATTAACGTGCGCTGCATTTCTGGGCATGACATCATCATCCTTAACTTTAGGGTTTTAGTAAATGACTTGTCAGACAAGGTTGAGCCTGTCTGTTGCTTCAGGGCTACATATTACAGAGAGTCCATGAGGTGAACCACAAGAGTCCTGGGTCTACAGTAACATCTAACCCAGGGAACAAGAAGCCTGGAGAACTGGAAACACATCACTGATGACATGCAGGAAGGGAGAACATTTTTCCCCCTATAATGTGTGCTCATAGTGGTTACGAATTGGGCTGCTAACCTCAAGGTCAGCAGTTGGAAACTACCAGCTGTTGCTGGAGAAAGATGAGGCTTTCTGCTCCCAGAAAGATTTACAGCCTCAGAAACCCTGTGCAGGGTCGCTATGAGTCAGAACCGACTCCATAGCACACAACAACAACAATATAATATATGCTGTAGCTCCTTGGCTTTGGTTTTCTAAAATCCCCACTCAAGTATCAAATGTTACCTTTAGGGGTGTAAGTAAATGAATAGGTAAGGTGGTGATCACATTCTATGGATAGCCATGCATACAGACACCAATTAAGTTTGGTGTGTTGTTTTTTAATTTGTCACTGCTTTGACACCATTTGCAAAGTTTCTAGGCATTTAAATTTCATAAAATTTCTTTGTGTAATTGCCTTCTTTAATGTTATTTCATCTTCTTACACATGTTGGAAAGAAAAAACAATACACAGATAATTATGCTTGTGGACAAAAATAAATATGCATTTAAGGCAACCAACACCCGTTAGATAGCCTAATTAGTGTAGCAAGAGACCCGGTGAGCAGCTAGGGATTTAATAAGCTTGGTAATTACAAAACCTAGAGTCAGTGTAGAAAGGTGTCTGTCCTTGAAAGTATACAAACACTAAACAATTCCCCCACATTTGGTAAGTTAATCAAGAGGCTCTGTTTCTGAATGGAAGTGAAGTCCAGAGGAGAATGGATGGGCTGGGATGGGTGGCTCATCTAGTGATACTGGCTGGGTGCCAAAAGTAGAAGGGCCTATGAATGAACCACCTTAGACCTTCATTCTTGCCTTGACCTCCTATGCTAAGAGCGAAATCATATGACTAGCTGGTTCCTAGCTGTGTGCCCAGCCCAGCCCCCTTACTTCATTTCCTACAATGGCTCACAAAGGTTTCACACTAGGAAATGTCAGTCAGGATTCACACCTGGGTTTATTGTTGTTGTCACTGATAAGTGCCATGGAATCGGGTCTGACTCATAATGGCCCTGTATAGGGTTTCCAAGGAGTGGCTGGTGAGCTTGAACCGCTGACCTTGCAGTTCAAACCGAACGCATTAACCCGCAGTGTCACATCAAGAGTTCTTTTCACCAGCACCCAACTACAGAGGCTTCAAATAGTACACACATTCTATTATCTTTTAATACCATTTTCCCACAAACATTTTAAAGCTCTCTTGAAAGAAACCTGTTGCTATGGAGTCAATTACAGCATCAGCATTGTACTACTAATGGTACAGGCCGACTCGATGGCACCTGACAACAACAACAACAATGGTTCAAACACATCAGCCACTCCTTAGAAACCCTGCACAGGGTCTCTATGAGTAAGAACTGGCTCCATGACACTTAATAACAACAGTCTTGATGGAAGCAAAGTCACTGGGTTAGAAGTCAAGCATAAACTTTACCATCCAAACCCACTGCCACGGAGTCGATTCCAACTCATAGTGTCCCTATGGAGGGTTTCCGAGACAGCAAATCTTTACAGGAACATACAACCTCATCCTTCTCCCAAGGAGTCACTGGTGGATTTCAACTGCTGACCTTGTATTTAGCAGTCCAATGCTTATCCTACAACACTACCAGAGCTCCCAGGGACCTTAACTATGAGGGAGCTTCAAAATGGAAAAATGCAATTTAAAAACAATATAACTTTCCTACAAACTTTCTGAAGTCCTCTCGTATATAGAGATTATGAAACTAAACAGTTTAATTCTGAACGATGTATTATGATTGTGGTAGTGGTTGTGTATCATGGAGTCGATTCTAATGCATAGCTTCGAAACTATCAGCTGTTGGCAGGAGAAAGGTGAGGCTTTCTGCTCCCGTAAAACCTTTATAGCCTTAGAAACCCTATATAGTTTGCTCTGAGTCAGAACCAAATCCACGGAACATAACCAACCATAGGGTTTCTGAGGCTGTAAATCTTTCTGAGGGCAGAAAGCCTCATCTTTTTCCTGCAGAGCAGCTGTAAGTTTACAACCCAACTCGTAACCTACTATGCTACCAGGGCTCGTTGAATTATGTATTATAGCCTCTTTTTAAAATCGATTTGGCTTTGGATTTTTAAAACTTTTTCGTAGGAAAGGCTCAAGGCAAGTTCAAACTGTGAACTCTAAAGCAGAGAGGCTGATTGATTCAAGTGAGTGCCAGGAACCATGAGAGTCATCGTCCCTTCATCCCCACCCAACTGTGGACCTTTCTGGGTAGGAAAAAAACCCTGCATCAGACACTGAGGTCTTTAAAGACAACATCTAATGACAACTTTCAAGCCTTTCACCTGGGTCGGTAGCACAGTTCTTGGGGGTGGGCAGATTCTCAATATATATTTTTGGATTAATATTTTTGGATCTATAGCAAGGCAGGACCTTGTGGCTCTCCTTACTGGGAGAAGGTCCAAGATTAACAGACTCTAAAGCCTGGTTCACAATCATTAGAGTTACCCGTTTGCTTTTCCTCGCTAGGTTTTTCTTCGAAATCTGCGTTTGTCAGATTATTAACTCAGATAAAGAACGGATCAAAAGGGATTTGGATTCTAACTCACTCTTTTTTTTTTTTTTTCAACCAATACTTAGTATACACACTTCATTTCCACATTCATAGATATGTGCTTGGCACTGGACTGCTGAAAATGAATTGATTGAGTTTCCGTAATATGACAAACATCTTTTTTGGTGTCATTTAAAGAAAACACACTATATACCTTTTTTGTTTTTAGTATTGACACGCTGAAATGGTAATAGGAATTTCCTGACACCTTTTGATTTTTCACACTCTTTTTTCAAAGAAGTTGAAGAATAGATAATACGAATGTGTTGGTTGATTTCTCTGTCTGGTCCAGTTAGAAATTCTGGGTAATCATCAATCTGGAAAAAAAGAAAAACAAAAAACTTTGAGTTGGCCGAGGACAAATGCAACTGCTTACCTAATACTAGAATAATAAAACCCTCCAAAGCATAGAGTGAGTTTAAAGTGCATTCTTTTTGTTTTGTTTTGTTTTCTCAACTGGGGCAGATTTCTTCTTACAGTTAGGTTTCTCAATCTTTTCTATTTGTTTTTGAGTCCTTACTAGAAATGTACTCAGCAACAGAACCAGTAACTATCTATACTATAGGGTTGCTAAATAAATAGTAACAGTGTTTTTGTTTGTTAAAATCAAATCTTTTCTCCTGTCAACCTAGATTGACCAGCAGTATAGCGAGACCTGGGAACTCCTGATCCCATGGACAAGGACATTGCCACAGAGGACTAGAGCAGAGAGTGAAGCATCCAGCCGATAGGAAGTGAGGGGAAACACACAAGAATACCCGCACTTGCAGATAGTACCCATTTGACCTGGCTTCAATGGCTGGATGATCAGAGTTCAACTAGACGAAGAGAGAAGAGGGAAAAAAAGAGTAATTTGCTGCAATTTGATGAACTTGACCTATACTTATGGATGTAATAGCTCAAAAGAGGGAATGAATCTTTACAGCAAGAATAATTCCCACCCCCTGGGTATATAGGGTAGACAGGGATGGGCAACTTAAGACATTGGCTACCCAAAGGGGTGGGGGGCTACAAAGGCACGAAGTGACCGGCTTACAAGCTTTCAAGAGGGAGCCAGGGAAGGTAGAATTTTCAGAGTGGTTTCCAGCCTATCACCAAGGTTGGTGAAAAGAGATGGGGATAAGACTCATGTGGTTCAATAGTGAATAACTGCTATCAGGACTGACTGTGAATGTTGCAAATGTAAAGGTAGATTTTTTGTAACAAAAGGAGAGAAGTGGTTGATCTTGCAGTCTAGGAGCGGAGGGCCCTGGGACCATCAAGGGAGAAGAGTGGAGTGCAGGACCCTATCCAGAGAAGCAGTGACATCAGAAATGGAGGCAGAGACAATGACATGGAGAGATGGAGTAGCTGGGGACTCTGGACTCAGGGAGGAAGAGGAGCTGTGTGTTGATGGCCCGGGGGCAGGTCTGTGGGGTGCACCCTTTGGTTGTTTGAATGGTTATATATTTCTGAGTGCTTCGGTGTACATCCAAAAAACAGAGGGCTTGGAAGCAAATGCTGTTGAATGATGATGCATGGCGGGGATTGTAGTCATTGCAATGAAATGAAATACGATAGAATGAATGCAAAGCTGATGTTCTCCCATGTAAACAATCACTCAATTCATAATAAAAACTAAAAAAAAATTAGTTCTTCTCCACTTCTACTGTGAAAACAGATCATTTAAAATGTCTCCAAAGTATATAATTTATTGGGTTTAAACTAGGATTTTTCTATGTAGACAGTGTTCATTTGTAAGAAATATTCTATAGAGATTCTATTTACAAGAAATATTCTACAGAGAGTCTATGAATATAAACATCTAGGTTTGAACTATTTCGAGTTTCTTGCTCTAAATAATTGCCTGACTCCTCTCCAAAGTGTACCACTTTCTATTCTTGATTAAAAAAGAGGTTGCTGTTAATTGCTGTGGGGTTGCTTTCAACTCAAGGTGTCCCCATGTGTGCAGAGTAAATCTGTTCCATGGGTTTTTCAAAGCACTGACCTTTCAAAAGTAGACTGCCAGATCTTTTTCTTCAATGGCACTGCTAAATGTTTTGCATATTTCAAAGTCATAAATTTTCTTGACAAAGCCAAGCAAATATATTCACAATACAGAGTTATATTTAAAACAATAACAAAAAAATTTGTTAAGTATAATATGATTCTAATTTTATAAGCATACATTTGCAAATTTAAAACTCTGGAAATATGTATCTTGCTCCTGGAGTTTTTCTCTGAGTGGTGTAATCACTGATGATTTTAATTTTCTTTCACGTTTTTTACATGCATTATTTATTTATTTATTTTTACAAGGAACACATATTGCTTTTACAATAAAAAAAACACACACACATAACTATTAAGACATTCTAGAGAATGAAAACACTTAGAATAATTTAAGGCATTCCTGAAGCACCTTTTGCACATTAAAGAATTCCTTTGCAAACTAGAAAGCAATGTTGTTAATTTAAGTATCTTCTGAGGCCTATGCTGGGCTGTATTTCATTAGCCTGATTTGAATTGCTGTATATATTCAGTGGCATGGCACTAAACAACAACAACATATATTTGAAAGGAGCCCTTATGTCCCAGTGGTTAAGTGTTTGGATGCTAACAAAAGGTGCAGTGGCTCCACAGGACATAGTTTAGGAGTCAAAATTGACTTGCTGGCAATGGGTTTGCTTCGGGTATATATTTCTAAAAACTGAATTTGTGTAGCTCCTGATAGCAAGCTCCTGATAGCAATTCATCAATTCATCTCCCAATCCTCAATGACTCTGCATTAGATGTAAAAAAAAAAAAAAAAAAATTCATTAGTAGCATTTAATATTTCCTTCTTATGCCTGTAAAAATGAAAGGATAAACTGGGTAAGAAGAGGAAGCTTTCCTAAATTCTAAGTGCCATATTTTTCACATGTAACATGTCTATATAAATAACACTGCTAGCACTCAGAGGAAACTAATGTGTGAGGGGTTCGTTCAGTTTGAAAAAAATGTATAGCACCCACATTATTTGCAAAAAAATGTAGTAATTGCAAAAAAAAAGAAGTCCCTCCTGATTCATGAATTTAGAGGTTTTACGTATTTGTCTCTATGGATGCTCTGCCCTTACTCTTAATCAGATGCTATTGCTGATTATCTGCCATAAAAAAGCAAATACGTGGTTAAAGTTATTGTTGTTGTTAAGTGCTGTCGAGTTGCTTCTGACTCATAGCAACCCTGTATAGGGTTTCTGGGGAGCAACTGATAGTTTTGAACTGCTGACCTTTCAGTTAGCAGTCCAGTGCTTATCCTAAAGCACCACCACAGGACTCCATGTTGCTACAGAAAAGATCTAAAAATCCCAAGTGGAAACCTTATTGATCACAGGGATAGCCGAGTTTGGGGTAAACATTATGTTTCATAGTTTCTGGGTTCACCATGAGTCAAGGACAACTTCAAGAGAGTTAATGACGACAACAAAAAGTCACTGAAATACGATACCTTAGAAAGAAATGGCCTTTTGGTCAAAGATTATACAGGAATTCTGGCAACAAAAATGTTTACTGGAGAAAACTGGTTTTATAATATGGATTTTCGATGGGTTTTTTTTAAGTGGAGATATCGATTTGTTAAACTGGGCATTATCTTTTTTCTATACTTGTTGATCTAATTTGAAGATCTTAAATGTTATCATTAGTGCTGTTGAGTTGGTTCCTACGCATAGCAATCCTGCATAGGGTTTCCAAGAAGCAGGTGGTGAGTTTGAACTGTCGACCTTGAGGTTCCAATCAACCTTGCGGCAAATGCTTTCTCCTAAAGCACCACACCAGGATTCCAAGTGAAAATGTTGTTGTTGTTAAGTACCGTGGAGTCAGTTCCGACTCATAGTGACCCTACACAGGGTTTCCAAGGCTGTAAATCTTTACCGGAGCAGAAGGCTTCATCTTTCTCCCACGGAATGGCTGGTAGTTTCGAACTGCCGACCTTGAGGTTAGCAACCGGATTCGAAACCACTATGCTACCAGAGCAGATTACAAAACAGTGTCATACTGGTCCTGTTGTGTGTGTTTATGTGAAGCATAGAAGACAGTTTAGAATGTTATACACTAATTTTTCTTGTGTGTTTGGTTAACTGTGATCATTTCTGGATGGTAGAATTCTAAGAGATTCACTAAACATTAAATTCTAAGCATCATCTACATATTATAACGGTAGTTATTTGAGTAATTTACAAAAATATTTTAACTGGTATAGTCTTGTCTACAGAGAAGTGCCTCCTGACTCATGAATTAATGGTTTTACGTATTTGTCTCCATGGATGTTCTGTCCTTACTCTTCATCAGATGCTATAGCTGCTTATCTGCATAAAAATAAGCACTGGACTGCAAACCACAAGGTCTGAGTTCAAGCCTACCAGCCACGCCACAGGAAAAAAATAAGGGTTTCTGCTTCCACAAAGATTGAAAAGCCTTAGAAATCCCTTGCAGTGTTGCTATGAGTCAGAACTGATTCCATGGCACTTAATGACAATGCATTTTCAGCTAGTAATTTTTTCCTGAGAATCTGTCACTTAAAAGACCAAGTAGGGGGAGGAGAAAAGGACAACATCTAACATGACTCATGGCAAAGTTTATGTTTATAGAACCTAACATATAAAAAAGTTACTTGTATGTATCTACAAGATCACCATCACAGTTAGGGACCATGGTAGACAATTACACTGGCGCCTGTCACACCGTTAAAGGGATTCACCTACATGTGTGAAAGTGGCGTAGTGATGGATGTGAAGATAAAGAGAGTGATTCTGAATAGAGCTAGTGTCAAAATGATCTATCACTTTTCACCTCCCACAGTTCTCTCATTGGCTCATTAGTAGGAACCCCAATGGCAAAATCTATGGTTACAAACTTGTTTGTAGAACAAAACTCTAATTAAAACAACAACCAAAAAAATAAACGCATTGAATGCAACTTGAATATGAATTAGAAAGTCCAAGTGTTAAAGTAGTTTAATAAAAAAAAATTGCATTAACAATTCTTTCTAAAAATATCCACGTTTCATTGTGCAGATGTTGTTTGTGAACCCTGAGAGAATCACCCAGGACTATACAAGGCTAGTGTACACATCTATGGGGAATGAAGTTTTTAGACTAGTAGGCTTCTCCACTGTCAAAACTGAGCAGGGCTGGAAGATTGCTGTCTATGCCTGAGGTAGAACAGAAAGCTCTTCAAAGAGACAGAGCTGAACTCAATCCCTTGCTAGCAAAAATATGCTCCAGCATTTTGTTTTAGACACGATGTTTCTTGAAAAAAAAATTTTGTTTTTCCCTTTCATACAAGAGAGATATTTT